ATTTATCTGGGGCAAGTAAGCTCCATTTTGGAATATAATGTTGGAGGGACAATGCGTTTATATTATTTCTATATGAGGAAGATTCCAGCTGCCACCATCAGAGTCTATAACTCAAGCCCTTCCCCAGTCTTAACATTTTGTCCTTAGAGCAAAAAGGTTGAGCTTACAAGATGAATAAGAAGAGTTACATATTTCAATCTCTAATGTGAAGTCTGATTCAGCTCCCTGGATGATGTTAACATCACACCCATGTTATTTCATTTTCTGCTGAGCAAACGTTATAAAATGTATAAAACTGGCTCTAAATAATAACAGATTTGTCTTGAGCAGCGGCTCATTAGGAAATCTTTCTAAACCTACACTCTACCAGAATTCACTGAAGTGGGCAAGAACATGTAAGAGAAAAGGGGAAAGGGTGAATGCAACTTTGGATCCTAAAAGAAGTAAACTGTGCCAAATAGAGTGTAGGAGGTATCAGATGACGGAAGGGTGACTTTGGTCCACAATTCCAGGTATGATAAAAAAGCCCGTTTGGGAAATAAGTGGAGCACATCTCAGAGGACCACGGATACCATTTGCTATCTTACAGAGGTCATGGGCGGTGGGTTCTCAGCAGCTGTTCTTCAGGTAGAGGATTCAGAGGGCTCCGCGTCGTTAGCACTTGGAAAAGACTGTGTCAGGCAGAAAAGACGGGGACAGCTACAAGCTGGTTCCTAATGTGGGCAAATAGGCTTAAAAAGAGGGGGTGGTCTGCCCTGTTGACTAGTACATATATTAAAGATACTCCTGGGGTGCTTGGGTGGCTCAGTGGGTTGAGCGTCCGACTTGGGCTCTGGTCATGATCTCACGGTCTGTGAGTTTGAGCCCTGCGTCGGGCTCTGTGCCTGCGTCTGGGAGCCTGGAGTGTGCCTCAGATTCTGTGTCTCCCTCTCTCTCTGCCCCTCCCCCACTCATGCCCTGTCTCTCTCTCTCTCTCTCTGTGTCAAAAATAAACGTTAAAAAAATTAAAACAAAAAAAGATACTCCTTAGCTATCCAACACAGCACTTATAAGTGTGAGTTTCACCTACTTACTAGCTATGCAACCTGAAGTCGTAAGTTAACACCAAGCCCTTACTAACATCAATTCCTGCCTCTGAAAAACAAGAATGATAATAATAATACTTATTTTGTGGATACTACCTAGATTAGTGAAGACACTGAATGTAAAGCACTAATATAGGACCCCTGGGGGGCTCAGTGGTTAAGCGTCCATCTTCGGCTCCGTGAGTTCAAGCCCCGTCATGGGCTGTGTGCTGACAGCTCGGAGCCTGGAGCCTGCTTCAGATTTTATGTCTCCCTCTTGTTCTGCCCCTCTCCTGTTCTTGTTCTGTCTCTCTCTCTCTCTCTCAAAAATAAACATTAAAAATTTTTTAAGTAAAGCAATAATATATATTAAGACTCACAGGAAGTGCTCAATAAATATTGGTTCAGATTATTAATATCCATATCTATAATGAAGAATTTTTCATTTTTTCTAGTTTCACTGTATCCTATGACAGACAATCTGGCATGCGACCTGGCAAAGAAAATTATAGACAAACTATTTTAATATCTCTTCACCGGGTTATGGAGAACCATAATAAATTGAAACAAAATTCTGTATAGTTCATATCAACTTCCAATATTGTACCATGCCTACAGGAATGAGAAAACAGAAAGATCCCAGATGTGTTATTAAAAAAAGATTCTTTAGTCTGAAACAGGGGGTTAACATGGAGACTCACCATTGCCCTGGAGATCCACTGTCTTACTGTGAAATCAATGTTCTATAAGAAATATAAAACAACTCTAGAAAATTTCTAATTTGTCTTCTCAATAGAATTCAAAAGATTCTGTAGTTTTCACAATGTAAACAAACAGTCATGATACACTAGGAAAGCTTAGATAGAGGTTTTTTAAGGTTGCTTTAAAGGCTTTTTTTTTAATGTTTATTTTTGAGAGAGAGAGAAAGAGATAGAACGTGAGTGGGGAGGGACAGAGAGAGAGGGAGATACAGAATCTGAAGCAGGCTCCAGCCTCTGAACCCACAAACCGCGAGATCATGACCTGAGCCAAAGCAGAACGCTAACCGATTAAGCCACTCAGGCGCCCCAATTGTTTTAAAATTAAAAGTACAAATATACAAACTAAAGTATAAAATTATATATTACATATATACATGTACACCTATTTGTTACAATTTTGGTCCTTATTCTTCTTTTACAACTAACAAATAGAATACATTCTGTGTCCTACACACTGTGACAAGGTTGTCTGTCAAAATTTCATTGATTATATAAATATGCTCCTGTTCAGGTCTACTAGGCTTTTGATTAGAATGGAATTATTTTTTTTTACATCAATTTGAACAAAGTTTTCCCTTTTTAATATTGATTCCTTTAGTCCAGGACAATGGCATTCAAATTTTGTATTATACACAGTCAATAAGCATTTATGAAAGGAATAAATAAATGCCACCCAATTATTTTTTGCAATGTCCTTTAAAAAAAGGTCAACATTTAAAGGTTATTTCAAAGCATTTTGTGTTTTTAATTTGGTAAATTAAATGTTTTTCCTCTTAGAGAATTTTCTATTTAATTGTCACTATCTAGTAGTAAAGGCTGCTGAATGGAACTTTTTCCTTTGCCCAACAATTGACACCAGAGGAACAACTTTTATGAAAACCCAAAGGGGGCTGTATTTTTTTTAAAAGAGAACTGCAAGCAACAGGGGCTAGATCCTTCTACCAAGCTAGTTAAGTGTGGCAAAACTGGATAAATACCACCAGTCTCTGCTTCAAGCCCACAGTTCCCCCTCTGGTATCCCGTTTCTCTAAGATGGCTGTAAAGCACACTAACAGTTGCTTCTTACCTGGACATTCCTCAAGAAGACAGTCTTGCCGGAGCAACTCATGCTGGTAGGATGACAAGGGACAATGGATGTTGTGGGGGGTGGGATCTCACATTAGCTGACAGGGGCCAAAGGGAGACAAAGCTGCTACTCTCCAAGAAGTGACGGAGAGGCTTGAAATACAGTTGAAAACTGTCCCCCAAACACTCTTATCTTTCCTGAGAAAGCTACTTCATTGGCAAAGACTCCAAACACACATGGATCCAATTTAAAACCCACCCTCTCGGTTGATGGGGGGTGGGAGGGAGGGGAGGGTGGTGATGGGTATTGAGGAGGGCACCTTTTGGGATGAGCACTGGGTGTTGTATGGAAACCAATTTGACAATAAACTTCATATATTGAAAAAATAAATAAATAAAAATAAATAAAAAATGAAAAATAAAAAAAAAATAAAACCCACCCTCTCATCCGTATCACATTTAACATTACCTGTTATTTAACACCTACTGTATCTCCTATCTCTCTTTTGACCAAGCACTCCAGAAGATCTAAAAGGGGTGGGGAAGGAGATGCCCCCACACACACTTCTTCTCCACAAGGCTCTGAAGGAGTACACCATGGCCTTTCCCCATTGGGGTCCTTCACCTCAACTGGACTATAGCTGGGTTTATTTTATTTTATTTTATTTTTTTTTCCAAAAGGAAATTTTTTTTAATAGAGGATAAGTACATTTAACTTGAATGGTTAAGATAGTTTATATAGCTGGGTTTAAATGGGTTATTATTTATCTGTATTTAGTGTTTCATTCACACTTATTAAATATGCAATAAATATAATAAATATATAAAAGTGAAGAAAGTTGTCCACACTTTATCCCACAAAGGAACAAACCTAGTCCTCCTACTTCCACTCTGGGCAACATAATGCAGAAAGTAACACAACAAAATGTTCTAAAATAACATTTAACTTGGAGAAGGAAAGGGCTATACGTGAACAATAGCAAATAAAATGTCTTCCTTCTGACGAAGTTTTATAAGGCTATGAAATCAAAGCACTTGCCAGGAAAGAAAGTTTTATCTTATTTTTTATTTTTTTAATGTTTATTTATTTTTGAGAGAGAGACAGAGAGACAGAGTGTGAGTGGGAGAGGGGAGAGAGAGGAAGACACAGAATCTGAAGCAGACTCCAGGCTCCGAGCTGTCAGCAGAGCCTGACGCAGGGCTTGAACTCAATGAACCTTGAGATCATGACCTGAGCCGAAGTCCAATGCTTAACGGACTGACCCACCCAGGCGCCCCAGGAAAGAAAGTTTTATGTATTTAGATCTTGGCCTGTATCTATTATAGTTTCTTTTTACTGGTCTAATAAATGACTTAGCTGCAATGAGCTCAAATAAATATTGAAATTAGATGCCCATCTCGTTAATTTTGGTTTAGTTTCTATTTTCTTAATTCATCTGTACTTTAGTACATTTTTGGATATTTTTCAAAGAGTAAACCAACTGTGGTAGTACCATTTAATGATTATGTTAATATAAATTTATTTGGAAAGCCAGGTTTAAGACATGCTGAATCCACTGGTCTTCTGCTTTGATTAACTGTCTTGTTTAGTCTTATGATTGTATTTTTTAAGTATATAATATCTTACCTCATTAATTGCTTTAATAATTGCATTTCTGATATCCTATCTAATAGGATATGTTTTTTTAAATTTGTTTGTTTATTTATTTATTTATTTATTGCACAAGTGGGGGAGGAAAAGAGAGAGAGGGAGAAAGACAGAATCCCAAGCAGGCTCCACACTATCAGCACAGAACCTGATGTGGGGCTCAATCACGACCTGAGCTGAAATCAAGAGTCAGACACTTAACTGACTGAGCCACCCAGGTGTCCCTAATAGGATATTTTTTTTTAATTTTTTTTAACGTTTATTTATTTTTGGGACAGAGAGAGACAGAGCATGAACGGGGGAGGGGCAGAGAGAGAGGGAGACACAGAATGGGAAGCAGGCTCCAGGCTCTGAGCCATCAGCGCAGAGCCTGATGCGGGGCTCGAACTCACGGACCGCGAGATCGTGACCTGGCTGAAGTCGGACGCTTAACCGACTGCGCCACCCAGGCGCCCCAGGATATGTTTTTTTAATGTGCCCTTGTCTTGCCTATTTTTCTTACTCCCCGACCTTAGAGAACACGTCTTAATAATTTTAAAAACCATATTTAGTGCCCTAAACATATAAATGTTTCATTTATGTGGTACTGAACTAAATTTTGGAAAAATGTAAACAAAATAAATGTGTATGTATGTATGTATGTGTGTATATCTGTAGTTTTTAATGATGTGTAATATCATATGCATTATGGGAAATAGTTATTTCTTTATAAAAATTCATACAAAGGTATAAAGTATGAACTATGAAGTATGAACTATGTATAAAGTATGAACTATGAATATGAACTACTTCATATCTTGTATGAAGTAAGCATGCAATGCCAGCTCTTTGAATATTGGACAAAAAAAATATTATGGTGGATAAGACACTATTCTACAAAGTATGTTATTGCTCTATATGAATATATAAACCAAGATGACTTTGGGTTCTGGCTCACAGTTCATAAAAGAGACAACTAACTGACCCCTCTGCTTCTGATGGAAAACCAGCGAATGAAGGAAAAATCCCAAACTAAGGCTTTTTGTAGTATAAGGAGGTTAAACAAAAACCTGACTACTTTCTGTCAATCCAATGCTACTTTTTCTCAGCCCTGTATGAGTGTTTCTGATCATTGCTTTGTAGAAATTCACTTTGCCCCTCAGTTTGGTAATTAACCTAATTATCTTACATTAATTAGCGACCTCTAGCCTCGTCATTTTCACAGCACTGCTGTAGGTGAGGTCACTGACCCCTTTCCCCAGGTTTCTGCCTACAGAAATGAAGTTCTAATTTCTCAGAGGTATTGGGAAAATGCCTCTTGCCATTCTTACTTACCTGAGTGGTGGCATCAGGAGAAAGAACTGGGTACATTTATCAGCAGTTAGAGATTTTCTTTCTCTGCCGCCTTTCTGTTCCTCGCTAAGATGTCCACTCCTGGGTGCACCTACCTGCAGCCTGCAGGGGTGCTTAAATATGCTGGAGGGAGGGCAGCGGGAAGCTATTACTATTCCTGTCTGATCAACCACCTTCCCGCCGCATCACTGTGTCCTGCGAAACTAAATTATGTCGTATTTTCAGCCTTCAAGATTCACGCATTTGCTGTCTGACGATGGTGCACCTTTTGTCACAAAGGCCACCCAGCATTGATTCAACCATTCAAGGTATTTGATGGACATTTCACACTTCTTTCATCCTGAAATGCCAGTGTCATGAAGAAGGGGCATTTTTTTTAATGCATTGAAAATATTTCTGACTCTACCACCCTCACTTTTCCTGATCCACGTACCTTACTTAAGGCAGTTTGGTCACCCAATGTGGCAGTTCTCCAAAGTGGCTCTTTTCCTGGTCATCTCCTGAGCAGTGACCAGGATCACAGTGTTGAGGAGTTGTACTGACCTATTTTGAAAATCTGGGATTGCATTCTATCTTTCCTGGCCACATTGCTTCTTTTTTTATGCCCTAACAACAGCCTCAGGTCAGCCTGGTACATATGCTGGGTGGCAACCTGGCCAAATGGTGGCCCACAGAATTCAAACTTAATTCTGGTTCAGCCACCCGAATCCTCTTGCTGTGTTGTTACAGTCATGAAGATAATAATTACTAAGCTGCACATACTAGTCCTCTCTAGTCCATGACAGAGACCCATGTGAGGCAAGGTAGGAGGGAGGGCAATAATGCATCTCAGTAAATTTTACTAAGATGCTCTTATCCCTCTTGCATCTAACACTCCAGCTGAAAGGTCTGGGTACAAGGAGATGATGACTGGAGAACAGGCAAATTTACAGCTACTAGAATGGGAAATGCTAATTTTGGGGAGTACAGCGAGAGCAACAATTCTGACATGTGGGAGGGAACACCGTAGGATTGGGGACGGGGTGAGTACAGAGCAGGCAGAGAGACTAATGATCTTTTGTCTTTTAGAACCGACCTGGAAGCTTTTTCACAAAGGAAAACATCCCAGCGCATCTTTCACAAAAGACAACAAGCTGCTTATTAAATGACTCCTAGACCTGCCATGTCCCACCAAATGGTGGTGACCATGACTTGATATTTAGTCTCTACAACTTGACTGAGAAGTCAATCAGAAACATTAGCGAGTGATCCCAGATGCTGCAGGTCCCACACAAAATGCCTGTCAACACCTCTAAATGTCTTTCCACCTCTATTCCCATCTTCACCACCGGGTCATGACGGGGGATAGAAGAATGCCACCCAGCAGGGTGACAAATACTATATGTCAGTGTGACTGCCGTCATGTAATCTCTCCAAAGACACAGCTGAACCAGATTTGGGAAAACTAATATTTACCAGCTGGCCAGGAGGGCACTTTGGAGACTGTTAACCTGTGTCCCCTGACTGATGTAGGTCATATCTGTAGCGAACAACAACTACAATACTCTCCTTCCAGGGGCACCTGTGTGCCCCTGGGACTGAACTACTTCTGGGGAAGCTACATATTAACTTGCATGAACTTGCCCCAGTGTGCACCTAAGGAGTGATCAAAAGAGCTCTTCAAATGTTTAAGAAAACACCACCAGCAGATCCTGTGGCTCCCAGGTGACTGTGAAGATCTCTCTGGAATAGGGTACTCTAAGCTACTTGGGGAGTTCCCAGAAGGGATAAATCCCTGTGTGTGCATTCATTGGGTGGTTATCCCAACAATGGGAGCCATCCAGTCAGAACAGGTAGTAAAAGAATGTGTCTCTGGACCTCAGCTGAAATGATCAATGATACCATTTTGGACACAGAAGGCATTCAGGTCAGCTTCAACTCACTGGCCAGAACTGCTATGGAAAACAGTATTGTCCTACATATCCCTCTCTCAAGACCAAAGTGAAACCTGTGCAGTCACTTCGACGTTGCTATACCTGGATTAATGCCTCTGAAAAAGTGCAAAGGTCAGCACAGATGCTTAAAGAGGAAGTCATGTGTCCTAAAGTACATACCTTTATGTTTTGGGGGTTTCTTCAGCCTGCTTAGTCTGGGACCCTGGGGGTCAGGATTGAGGTCAGTACTGCAGGCTGGCTCCATCCTGCCACTTACAGAATTGTTGACAGAAGCTTTAATTAAATGTTGCATGAGACAAATTGAACAAATACAGGTCTACTCTCTACTGATACAATTAATCAGAATGGCCCACCCAGTGGCACTCTCATGTGAAAATTTGATCTCGGCTAAGGCTGTGTAGGGCTAAGAGGTGGTTTTGGGGAGAGGCAGTCTGCCAGGGCTCTGAGCATCCCTGCATATTCTTGCTGAGTGAGCCAAACTGGAAAGCTTACCCGTCTCCTGATACTGAGCAGTTTTTCTAGCTTGTCACATAAGCAATTGAGTAGGCCAAGTCCACTAGAGTGTGACAGCCATGTAACTGCATGCTTTTCTGTGTAAGGGGAATCTGTTTTTTGCCATTTGCTATAATGTTTGCTGCTTGCTCAAAACATGATTTGGCCCTGGGTCCTTCAGTTGTGAAACAAACCCACTGCATATGGGCCCACTGCATGGCCTCAATGGGACTTGGGAGGCAAGGGGGACAGGCAAATATGTTGATGTTCATGCTTCTTGCTGTGCCAAGAATAATAAAGTTCTTTGTCTCTGACCCAGGCGTCTTGAGTCTTCTGCCAGAACTCATGTGATGGTGGCTGGCTCACTTGTTGGCTCGCAAGTAGGGGAAAATCAAATCTTAGGATCTCTAAAGTTCCTGAGAGAAATAACATGAATTCGGAATGGGACAGAACTGTTTTCTATTTAAGCATCTCTTAATCACCTTCCAATTTTTTTTTTAATATATCCTTTCAATTAATAAAAGGCACATTACCTAGAAAACAGCTGGAGTAGGATTTGAACTAGGCAATATGGATGCAGAACATGTTTTTATTCTCCTATACTTCTCTATATGCTGATGTGGTTTAAAAGCATTGGAACATTTGCATTTTATTTAGTAAATTTCCCATGTCTCTTTTACGTGATTCTGTTTGTAACACATTAACCAACAAATTTTTCAAAGCCCTAGTCTCTAAATTGGTAATCACTTTAAACGTGACAAATCTTTAATTTTCTTTAATTTGTGTATGATACATAAACATTTTCAAAATAAATTGATTGTAACATGCCCATGTTTCACACCATCACTATCATTTGAATATAACAAGCAGTTACGAGGTTGATTGAATATCAATTAAAACATAATTTAAACCTAGTTATATCATGGCCCTTTAGTTGAAAAATTCCAGAAATCTAGATGCCAAGAATTTACAAAGTAAAAATATAATCTTAGTTACCTTGTTCCAATTTGTAATTCATGGGATGTGCCCACTTTGAAATGATCCCTGTACTACTATTTACAAATTAACCAAGAAAAGGAAAAGACAGATTTTAAATCATTTCAACATGTTACTCAAATGTTTTCTGAAACAGAAAAAAAAAAAAAAAAAAGACTCACAGACACTCTATGTATGAGTACAGAAAAGTCACGTTCACCAGATCTCTACTTCATCTTAGTCCAAGGCTGTTCTGCTCCTCAAATGTCTGCTCTGATCCAGCCACTTACACCATTCCAGCAATGGAGCCACCTCAGGCTCAGGGCACCAAACACAAGAAGGATATCCTGCCCCGAATTCCCATCACTTCCTTTCAGCCCCTGCTTAGTCTGGTAGGACAGGATTTTTACAGAATACTGCACATTCACCTCAATTTTTAAAATCATTCACCAGTTAAAGACAATTTTAAATTTTAATTCTTATCCTCATCTTGAAAAACTGATTTGGCAATGAGCTTTTGGGACATAATCCATTTGTAACTTGGGGATTTCCTAGAATTTTACATTAAAATATAGAAAAACTCAAACAATGTAACAATGGAAAATTGATAATGTGTAAATCCTTTATATTATAGACTATTATGTACAATGTTTAATGAGGTTAGGAACATGTCAAACATTGGTAAATATTTCTCAAGTTGGGACTATGGCTTCAAGTCAAAGTGACCCAGATTTCAACTTCAATGCTATTACTTTTTAGTATGTGGACATGAATAAATTCCTTAACTCCCTTTGTTTTGGGTTATTCATCAATAAAATGGGGCTAACACCTTGTTTACAGGATTGAATGCTATGTAAATGGCATCATACCTGGCACTTGCCACATCGGGTGAGGTGAATCCTAGCTATTATTATCTGATGAGAGATTCAGAAGAAAATTAATCATGAGAATATGGGAGAATATGGTTTCTCCTTCATTCTTACTCATTTGACTACTTTGTAACATTACCATAATGTGAAATATTTGCTAGACAATTGGGAAACAACATTTCTGCAAATGTGGACAATGGAAAAAAAATTAAGAAAACTCTGTGTGACTCACAAGCAAAGCAAGTGACATAGTATCAGAAATAGCTCTACAGTAAATTCACTTGATTAGATTTTAACTACATCTGGACTTTTCAGTTAATTTGAAACCCTCATAACTGTTTCTTTAGAGGTATTTCACAAGCCTGTACCCCTGGATGCAGTCTTTACTAATCTTTTGTGCCCCATGCTGTGCTGTGCTATTTTTCATGTGTTAACTTTCATGGCGTCTGAAAAACTACCCTTTAGAGTAGGTTTTATTTTTACTATTTTATAAATAAAACCAATGCTTAAAAAAATTAAGCTATCTTGAGAAAAATCATAGCTACTAAAATTCTAGGCTTCCAGGTTTTGAAACAGCCCCTCCAAACCCTGAAATATTTCTTAGAAACATAAAGGCTTTTAAAAAATAAGCTTGAATACCTTAATATAGAATGCATTTTAATACTAATTAGATACTATCACAACTCTTAGATTTCATAACCTTTCCTGCACTCTTTTTAAATTTTTTCTTGTGTTCAAAAATAATAAAGTAGCAATTTTCTGTAGCAGGAACACCATTATTATTCACCTACAATGTAATCAACATTATTTACTCACTTTTTATTACACTCCAGCTCAAATTCAGTATTAATCTTGACTACATTTCATTTCCATGTCACAACATATCTTTATTTTTATAGATAGCTTGTTAATGAGATGTTTTAATTAACGGTTTCATTCTGATTTCAAATCTTTGACAAAGAAAACAATGTCAGCTAACCCCACGTATAAGTATGTATTTTAATAGCCAGAATTTAAATCTTAGATTTTTGGAATTAGGATTAGAGAGATACATAATTTAGCTCAAACTGAAGGATAAAATCATGATTAGGAACATGCAATCTAGGACTTTCTTCGCCCTTCTTTGAAGCTATTTGCTCAAAAACGCCACGTAGATACACAACCGCTAAAACTGGCAATATTACCTGGAACAACATTGGAGACACCAGAACCAAGGCGCAGAAGCCACCACTCTGCTGAAGTCCCTCACCCAAGCCACACTGAATCATGCCACCCCAGGTGATGATTCCTCTTTTGTCTCCAGCAGCACTTTCTATATCATTGTAGACAACTGGGAGACAAGAAGACTAGAAACAGTACAACAGAGGAGCAGTTGTCAAAAAACAAAGAAACGACTCTTTAAAACCCTGGAAATATCAGATGATGGGTAAATGGGTAGTAGGTTCTTTTATCAAAGACACATATAAGCAGCTATCCATTATTCCTGACTGAACAACTATTACAGTCAAATAGTCAGAACAGGAGATGATCCCAAAGGAGCAGCATATAGATCTAAACTACAGGAATACATACGAAGAAAATGGGGATTAAAAAAGAAGAAGGAGAAAATGGGGCTAAAGGCTTTTTGTTTTGGTTCTATTGTGATTCTAGGTCTAATACAAAACGAGGATGGGGGGGGGGCTAGAAAAACTGAGGGAGGTAAACACAATTCCTTCCCGGTACCCAAAGCAAACAACTGATGGATGTGTTCTCTTTTAAAGTTGACTACAGGGGCGCCTGGGTGGCGCAGTCGGTTAAGCGTCCGACTTCAGCCAGGTCAGGATCTCACGGTCCGTGAGTTCGAGCCCCGCGTCGGGCTCTGGGCTGATGGCTCAGAGCCTGGAGCCTGTTTCCGATTCTGTGTCTCCCTCTCTCTCTGCCCCTCCCCCGTTCATGCTCTGTCTCTCTCTGTCCCAAAAATAAATAAATGTTGAAAAAAAAAATAAAAAAAAATAAAAAAATAAAGTTGACTACACAGAAAAAATAAATACAAACTATGGGATCTATAAATAATTATAAATAAAGGTAAGAATAAATTTGCTGACACATATAGTTCTTACTATTTCTTTTATTTACTTATTTTTATTTTTTAATGTTTATTTATTTTTGAGAGAAAGAGAGAGCGAGCACGAGCAGGGTGGGAGCAGAGAGAGAGGGAGACACAGAATCTGAAGCAGGTTCCAGGCTCTGAGCTGTCAGCACAGACCTGACGCAGGGCTCAAACTCGCGAACTGCAAGATCAAGGCTGCTTAACCAACTGAGCCACCCAGGTGCCCTTGCCAAACATTCTTTTAAATATTTAACATTTCTCTCTCATCTAATCCTAACAATAACCCTCTAGAGCCAGTGGCACTTTATTTCCATTTTTTAGATCATAAAAATGAAGCCAAGTCATGTACCAAATTAAGGTAGGTGATTTGCCCAGGGTCATGCAGCAGACTTAAGTGAGTAAAAATGAAATTTAACTCAGGTATCTGGCTCCAGAGAACACAGGCTTAATACTCCCTTTATCTTCTATATGTGAGGCTTAAAAAAAAAAAAAGGAAGTGGGAATGTCTAAGACAGATTCTAAGACAGTTAGTGGGTATGTCCTCCAACTCGGGTTGGGCGGGGGGTGGTGGGCACCAGATAGGTGGGAAACTGTTAGAGACAGGAACGTTGTGAGCTTTGCGTCTCTGAGAGGAGTGATACCAAGAGTCCTGCTCTTACACACCCACCTTCCAATTGGGCTTTTGTATTTTTAACTTACAACATAATCTATACATCGAACAAAAGTTTCCTCTAAAGGCACTAGGGAAAAGCACGACAGTAAAATTATTTTGAAAATAGGATTCAAAACACATTTTTGAAAATAACTATTTGGTATCATCAGAGAGCGTCAAGCTCTATGAAACAAGACAATGGGCCATAAGGAGAAGCCAAGCTAGAATGAACAAGATATAATAAAGAAGTTGGCAGAAATAAGAGAAAAAATGCAAAATATCCTAAATACTGATGCTCAATTAAAAGCCATTTTGAAAGCAGTAAAAAGCAGAATTAAAAACAGAAAATGATGTAGAAGAAAAAAAATAAGACATACTCTGAAAAGAAAAAGAAAAAAAAATCACTGAAATAAAAGCTACAAAAAATAGGACAGATGCGAGGGAATAGAATAGAGAGCCAACCTCTACATTCATTCCATTCCTGCATGCAACAAATACTTATTTTTTTCCTAGGACTACTCAAAACCCAAAACCTCTTGCCTCTAAAATCATGCCCATAATTTTACAGAATTCATAAATGGAGAGAAGGTGACCTCTTGCCCTCATTTTGGGTGAACTGAAATGGAACTGCAAGAGTTCTTTTGGAAAAAAAAAACTAGAAAAAAATAAGCTATATTCAAAGATATTAAAATTTTTTTTTCAACTTTTTTTATTTTTGGGACAGAGAGAAACAGAGCATGAACGGGGGAGGGGCAGAGAGAGAGGGAGGCACAGCATCGGAAACAGGCTCCAGGCTCCGAGCCATCAGCCCAGAGCCTGACGCGGGGCTCGAACTCACGGACCGCAAGATCGTGACCTGGCTGAAGTCGGACGCTCAACCGACTGCGCCACCCAGGCGCCCCTCAAAGATATTAAGAGTAAATTTTCCAGAGCTGGGAGCAGAGACGACCTAAAGCTACAGATCAAAACAAGCCACTGAAGACCAGACAAATGTAAAACAAATGAGCCAACATGTACATATTTTCTTGACATTTTTGTTGGAGTTGCAAGGGTAATAAAAACAAACTTTTCTTTGTAGACCTCAGCTATATGCACTGCTAATTCACTGGCCTCTTTCAAGACTGGACACAAATGTTACCTTTTCACTGACCCTGTCCTGACCATCCTATTTAAAATTACAATCCACACCGACTTAATCCCACTCTGCTCTGTTTCTATTAATTCTTAGCACTTAGCACATGCTAATATGCCAGAAAATTTCTCATATGCTATGTCTAGAACATAAGCTCATTGACGGATTGAACATTTTTGTGCTATTCATTGATAAGTCCCAAGAATAGAGAGTAGTTCCTGACACATACTAGATATTAACCGTTAGTTTTATTAAGGAGTGAAGTGGCCAGGAAGGGGACAGAGGGTAGAGTATATACACAGAAGACATATCAGGCCTCAAGTACCTATACTTGAGGAAAAGTCAGAAATGTAGTTGGAATGGCAGAATGGGATCAAATGATGGAGAAGGGCATGTTTTGTTTTGTTTTAAATTTTTTTCTAATGTTTATTGATTTTTTTAGAGAGAGACAGAGACAGAGCACAAGCAGGGGAGGGGCAGACAGAGAAGGACACACAGAATCTGAAGCAGGCTGCAGGCTCTGAGCTGTCAGAACAGAGTTCAATGTGGGGCTTGAACCCACAAACCGCGAGATCATGACCTGAGCTGAAACCGGACAGTATATGGACTGTGCCCCTGGAGAAGAGTGTTTTATTCTAAGAAGTCTGGAGATAGTTCTATAGATAATAGGATTTAGATTTTGAGCTGTCCTAGGTAAAATAAGAACTGGTGTTTGAATCCAATGGGCAAAGATTTAGAAACACCTGGGACTTGAGTAGACCACTGGCTTCTCCATCCCTCCTCACTTTTCCTGCCCGCCTAACACAAATTCATAGAATTGTATATACAATCCTCAAATACTCACCATCTCAGCGCTGTTTCTCTCCTAATCTAACACATACATGTGCACGCGCGCACACACACACACACACACACACTCACACACACACACTCACACACACACACACACACAAAGTCTGTTACTTAGTCACAGCAAACTCACCACACACCAAATGTAAGGTATATGGTTAAACTTCCAAGGTTTCCAGACAAAGGTTTAGTACTTTAAATATGTCAACTCTTCCCAGATATATCTGAAATTCAGTGCAATCTTAAGAAAAAAAAAAAATCTCAAGTTTTATGTTGTTGTTTTTTTCTTGGAAGAACTTGTCAAGTTGACTCTAAAGTCCATCTGGAAGAAAAACTGTGCAAGAACAGCCGTGCTTTTGGTGCGGGAATGTAACAACGACAAAGAATAAAGTCTGTGACTATTAAAACCTGAGAGTTAGGATAAAAGAACTACATGAAATTTGGTGCAACTTCATTTAGTGTTAAAAACAAGAGAGGCAACCTAAATGTTCAACTTAAGAATGGCTAAATTAATCATATATTCCACAAAATATGGTATACAGGGAAGAATTCCAACAATATAACTTTCAGAAAAAAAGAAAGACACAGTATGTGTGTGTATGTATATACACACGTAAAATATGCTTCCATTTTTATAAAATAACACTAAAAATAGTAATAATAACAAAACAAAATATGTTTCATGTATGCATGGAAATGCATTATCAGCACACTAAAACTAAACAGTGAGGTTTGGGTAGAAGGAATTTTTCACTTTCTATCTTATTTTATTTATTTATTTATTTATTTATTTGTTTGTTTGTTTATTTATTATTTTAATGTTTATTTTTGAGAGAGAAAGAAAAACAGAGCATGAATGGGGCAGGAGCAGAGAGAGAGGGAGACACAGAATCCAAAGCAGGCTCCAGGCCCTGAGCTGTCAGCACAGAGCCTGACGTGGGGCTCGAATTCACGAACCACAAGATCATGACCTGAGCCGAAGTCAGACACAGCCAACTGAGCCCCCTGGGCACATCTTCACTTTTTATTTTAGAGTTTCTCCTTCCTATTTGTGTTACTGGAAATTTTAAACAAGGCACATATTTTAGGTTTTACTTTTGTAATTCAATGTACATTTGTGCATGTCTCAGGGTATCAAATTTCAGGCTTTAAGAAAAATCCACTATCTAATTTAGGTTTTACATCAACTTTGTGAAACACGGTCACACATTAATATTCAATTTTACAAATGAAAGAAGAAGTAAAAAATAAATAAATAAATAATCCTCTGCAGAATGTAACTGGAATGCTTACACACTGGAAAAGTGACAGCCCCCTTTATATGCCAAGCAACTCGAACATTAAGTGATGTATTATATGTCTTAATAAATGCTCAGGGGCATGAATAAGAGACAGATTGTTTCTAAAAGCCAGGAAGATAAATACCAAGTTTGAGACTCTTCCTTCTCCCACTCCCTAAAATGGTAAGCCCTTTGCCAGATACTACTGAGCAGCAATGGGCCATCGCCTTACAGTCAGCAGTGCTACAATAGAATGGGATCAAAAATGGGTCTAAAATTAAACGGACTTAGTCAGCTGCAGTCACAGATTCTGAAGCAAAAATTTTAAAAAAGATTTTCCTACCTTTAAAAGAATACTTTACACAGTTGAATTTATGGCTCCTCCTAATATATTCTACAACTCTTAAGTACTCTTTCAAATTTAAAGTGATAAACAGCAGTAAAACTAAGAAGATAATCATTTGGTAACCTATATAACCTACTTTAAATGGTCTCTCCATAAAACCATTCGGCTCCGTTATATAGTATGTTTTTTCATAACTAGTATCACAAATCAAACTTTAAAACATGATTTGAATTAGTGACTAAAAAATTAATGGGCAACACAGACTTCTGTATTAGCTTTTTTTTCTTTAATGTTTACTTTGAGAGAGAGAGAGAAAGCATGTGCACACACGAGTGGGGGAGGGGCGGGCAGAGGGAGAGGGAGAGAGAGAATCCCAAGCAGGACTCATAGGCTCAGGGCAGTGTTCTGTGCTGGGCTCACA